AAAAAAAAAAAAAAAAAAAAAAAAAAAAAAAGGAGGACCCATCCTGATCCTGATGGGGATGGAAGTAACTAGAGGAGCTGCACTGCCTGCTGGGCGAACGGTACAGAGAGTCTACAGAGAGTCTACAGACATGTGACTGGTTCCAATTGTGATGGAGACAAACAGGGCCCACTCTGGAGAGATTGAGAAAATATTAAAATAATGATTACGAGTGGCGCGACCAGAGTGCGCCCTGTTTGAACCCACTCATAATAATTTTTTTTATTTTTTTATTTTTTTTTGGTTTTATTCACTCATAATAATAATAATCAACTGAAGTTGGAACCAATCAACTGAAAATAATTATTATGCTTCGGTTGATCTACGAAGCACATTACATGGTTGAGGCTGGTTCCCAATTCAACAATTTTTTTTTTTTTAAATGGACCCAGCTTGGGCGTGATTTTTTATTTTATTTTTTTTGGGGGGGGGGAACTTGGGCGTGATAATCTCTAAGCCTGTCCCACCTAAAATAAAATAAAATAAAATAAAATAAAAAAGAAGAAGAAGAAGAAGAAGAAGAAGAATTTCAAGCATGTGGAGGGTGTCGAACAGATAGTATCAACAAGACGCTTCACACACAGCGGGAGAAAGGAGAAGCGGGAAGTGTAGAAGGGAGACGGGAGAAGGGGTAGAAGGGAGAACTGAGAAGGGGAGAAGGGAGAAGGGTAGAAAAGTAGAAAGGGAGAAAGGGAGAAGGGAGAAGGGAGAAGGGAGAAGGGGAGAAGGGGAGAAGGGGAGAAGGGGAGAAAGGTAGAAGGGAGAACGGCGAAAAGAAGGAAGAAAAGGAGAAGGAAAGAAGCCTAGAAGGGGAGAAGGGGAGAAGGGGAGATTCGGGAGAAGGGTGAAAATGGGAAAGGTAAAGGGAGAAAAGAAGGGAGAAAGGAGAAGGGTGAAAATGGGAAGGGTAGAAGGGAGAAAGGAGAAGGGTAGAACCGTAGAAGGGAGCAGGGGGGAAGGCAGAAGGGAGAACGGGAGAACGGGAGAAGGGGAGAAGGGGGAAGGGAGAAGGGAGGAGGGAGAAGGGTAGAAGGCAGAAGGGACAAGCGAGAAAGATAATTGCTTTCTGTACATTGTAGAGGAAGAGATCACAAGATGTTTTCTATACGCTTGTGAAGCATGGAGGACTGTCCAGGGGTGTCACACAATGGTTTCCATGCATGGGGGCAGACAGGGGACTGGCAAAGGGCACAAGAACTTTCTGTGTGGAGAGAGAGAGAGAGAGAGAGAGAGAGAGAGAGAGAGAGAGAGAGAGAGAGAGAGAGAGAGAGAGAGCACGGAGGAAAGCCATTGGGAAGGACATCGTGTTTAGAGATGAACTGTCATGAGATGAGGTTACCTCCCAAGAAAAGGGAAAAAAAAAGAAAAAAAAGAAAAAAGAAAAAAAGAAAAAAAGAAAAAAAAAAACAGAAAAAAAAGAAAAAA